TCACCCTTCTACACAAAATACAGGTGTTTATGACACAGGATAGAACTTCTTTGTATTTTTGCAGGTAAATTTGGGATATTAGGTTAATTAAGTTAATTTTCATTTCATCACAAGTGCATGAGTTTATAGGATTCAACTGTGCCCAGGCTGCACTCACTTTTACTATCCTGAACAGACCTTTGAAGTGAAAATCTACTAAGTAATACCGTAATGTTTGATCTTTGCCTTCATGTCTGAACGTCCATGCAGCCCACTGAGGATCCTTCTCAGACCTGGAAGGAGATCTCGGCTGACACTAAACTTAGCAGTGATTTGGCAGCTGATGTGTCATGACTACTACTTTGAGTGCTGTTCTTCAGCTTCAGTTCCCCAAGTGCACCAGCTCTCTCCTCTTTTACAACAGTCCTGGAGGCAAGCACCATCTTTTTCTTCTGGATTTGTTTTGGATCAAATATAATGAGATTCCTGGCCCAAGACTGGTAGGCATGAGTATAATGAATATAACAAAGGCTGAAATGTCTTAATGTAGACCATTTAACCCTGAATCACATCCCTTCATGTACCCCAGCACTCAAGAGAAATAGCAAACACTGGTGTGGATCCAAGGGAGCCTTTTATTGTGGAAGAAAGAGACCCTTTGTGCTTTTATATATTCACAGGAAAGTCACAAGTTCCACTACAAACTAAAGAAACATGCCATGTTTTCTTACCATTAGATGAGAGAGACAACGGTTACATCTGAATTACCGAATAAAGCAGTGTGGGGACCTCCTAGGCAAGTAGCATAACACAGCCCATGTTCACGTGCTGAAGCTCTCTCTGTGTTTGCCCAGAAAAGAACAGTCCCACGCAGCCTGCCTTGTGGGGACACGTCCTAACAGATGCAATGCTCTGAGCTGTGCCTGGACATTGTTGGGAAAATCACTATCTGTCAAAAAGCAAAATCAAGGTAGAAAATGAACCATCAGTCGGTATGGATGATCATAAGGCAGTGTCTGAAACCATGCCTTGCCCTTCTTTAGGTGGCTGATGAAGATGTAACCACAGAGAACACCTTGTGCACGTTACCAGCACGGCACTCTTCTCTTGGGAAAAGCAAGCCAGAAGAGGCAGGGTCGCAGCAAACGTACCTACCCGGGCTGCACCACTGCTGCTAGCTGGCAGCGGGGCAGGAATGGGGACCTGACTCTGCCCTGTTATGCAGGCACAGATCAGGAGTAGCTGCAGTGAAACTGGTGGAACTTCTTGAATATAATATGGGAGTAAACTCATACCCTGTGTATGTCAATTGCCTTCCATCTTCAGTTCCATCTTGCACCCATATCAGCAGAAGGGTCTGAAGAAACGGAATATGCCTACAGGCTCCACAGCACTTCCAGTACTGCAGCTGGTTCTTGTTTTTAAGAAATGTAATAATTAAATCCAGATGCAAGGGGCTTTGGGGAAATAAGTGCACCATGGGTGTAAAAGATTTTCAAAAGCTCAGCAAGATCCACATTAGATTGGACTTTTCAGCTTGACCTGGAACAAACATTGTCCCTTGGGCAAAAAAAAATCTAATAATTGTGAAGACATAATTGCTAATGCAGACCTAGCATTTTGGCCTACTAATTGTCTTCCCCATTCAGAAACAGACAGTGGACAGAAATGTTCCTCACTCAACTGCATACATAACGATTTTTCAGGGAGGGTATTTCCATTTTGTTCCAGACCTGTTTGTGCTTTGTGTGCAATTATTTTGTGCTCCCAGAACGTTCAGCCATTTGAATCCCTCAATTATCTCAACACTCTGACACTTCTTTTTATAAATATGATGTTGGCTTGCACCCTGGAACAACTAACCGATCACTCCATTATCACTAGTAGGGCAAAGAGCAACAAAAATATATAAGAATAATTGAGAATGCCTGAGAAATCTTCTGAACCCAAAGGAAACAATCTGGATCCCATTTTCGCCTCATCCCCACTTCCCTCATAGCCTTGACTGTCAATACCTCATTTTTAGTTTAAATTGATGCAACCCATGGTTTAAAATACTGTATTAAAATACTGAGCATCAGCACCTTCCAAGTTTTTGTGATGAATTGCATAATGTGGGGAAAAAATATTGCCAAAAAATACACAGGTGACTTAGGACCCTGCATCTCATTTCAAGAGGGTCTCTGACAGCGAGAATAGCAGAGGCACCCAAAATGGAGGCAGATGTCTTGAGAAACTGAGAAGTGTGTCTGCTCAGAACAAGGGGTAAACTGGTTCCCAGTGGACTTCAGCAAAGACTGTATAACCCTGCCCATACAGCTGGAACCAGTGACCTTGCAATGAACTGCACCCAACTTGCTACTGGTCGGTGAGTGAACTAGACGAAGGCTGACTGATGGCTGCAATGCAGGTACACCCTTAGTTGAAGTATAAAGGAGATGATCTTTAAGGCCGACTGAAGGATTTGCACAGATACCTTTACACACACTCATACATTTCCATTGTCCGTATTCACCATCATAAGTAAAAAATTATTCTGCTTAGACCTGCAAAACCAAGAAAGTTTTTGGGCAGACACTAATGGACCAGCTAGGACCACCCACCAGTTGAGGGGCATCAGAGAATATAACATGCCTTAGACCTGTATGGGTGGAGAGAAAAATTCCAAGACAGACACTGGGATAAGAACCTGTTTTCAATTTAGAAACTAACTGTCTCCCTTCCACAGTGTGTGGCGTAATCATTCAGCTAAAATCCTTAGTCTGGTGGGAGCCAGTCCTACAGCCCTGTGTCAAGACTAAACAACTGAAAGAAACAAGCAGTACAAGTAGATAGTATTTCTGCTGTCCCAAAGTGGCTATGGTATGAAGGCTTTTCCTCCTAGGAGCTATTATCTAAGAAAGTGTTTCCAAAGCAAACCAGATAAAATATTGTGTGTAAGAATGGTAAAGGCAACTGAGTTTTCCATTTATGTTCATCTCAGCTTCTCAGAGCTCTCTGGGATAAGATTGGTTTAATGATTCATTTGTAAACCTCATGTCTAAAGCTTGTTGTTAGTCATCTCGTAAGATCCGTTATTTTCTAAACAAACAGCTTATCTGGCTGGACAGAAGTATCTACCCACCCTTGAGAATGGAAGCTAACACACAGATGAATGTCGGGATTGCTGGCTCTTGCTACCCAGTGCTCCACAGCTGTATCTACAGCACCGTGCGGACATACAGGTTCAGGCCACAGAAGCAATATGGCCATAGCATTGTGCCAGGGTTAATTAGCCACAGCCACCATCAGGGCTAGTTAGCAATACTACTCACAGGCTAGTATTTGCAATGGAGGTATCACTGCACGGTACTGCATTTGATACTATAGACCTGCTGTTCATGTCATAGCTTGCAGTGGGCACGAGAAGCAATGCTTAGGCCAATGCAGAAAAGAAACCATCCTTTATTTCAGGACAACCCAGGGAAAAGAGGAAAAGGGAGCTACAAAGGAAATCTAATCCTAATTAGATCAGTACAATATCATAAGAAGCCTCATACCTCATACAAATGCAAACTATGTAAGATCATACCCTTCTGATTCACTTGAACCTCCACTTTTCCAACTTTTTGCAAGAGTAAGTGACCTCAAGAGCCACAGAATACACAAAGTGCTTTAGATGCAGTCACAAAACATATTCCAGGAGAGCCTGGCGTATCTCAGGCTCTGACAACCACCTCAGGGATAGTGTTTGTAAATGCTAGCAGAAACAGGGTGTGGTAAATAATTTCTGGAGACCTAAATGACTTACTAGGGTCTTCCCATCAGCACTGCAACAACATTGCAAGAGTTAGGCAAGGGTAAGAGACTTAGGATCCAAAAATTCATGAGTCTGCATAGATCTAAGAGAATACATGTGACACAGGGAGGCTGCACAGGGTGAGCAGGTGTTGCTTGAATAGCACAGGTTGCTCCTGAGACCAACCTGCACGTGTCTCACCAGGCTTGCATAATGAGGTAGAAGTTCCTCAGTGGAGAGCAAGAATTTACATATAACATATCAAATAAAAGCTACCGTCTTTAGTTTTCTTTTTATTTTTCAGTCTTAGAGGGGCATCTTAATAGCTTTGTGTTTCTGATTCCTTATATTATTGCTCTAATTAGTATTTTAAAAAAGGTGATTTAGATATTTATAATCTTCTGTTTAGTTTTGGTCAGCTTTGGTAAGTTATCAGTAGTACTAAATTATATACACCAAGCACAGCCACAGATTTAAGAATTAACAAGAAAATTTTACCTTTCATGCAATCTCCCCCCATTTATTTATTATGCCACATGAAGAATGTCTGAAGAACTGTTGTATCATCTCCCTGATTACTGATTACTTCCTGGAATGACAACAGGTTATCGCTGGCACATCATCCCAGCCTCACAGACAGACAGACAGACAGACAGCCCTGCTTTGATAGCCTCTCACAGCAGGCAGCCAGCCAGCTTTCATTCAGAAGGTCATTGATCTTTGTAGGTATGTTTCTGTCTCCTCTAGGATCTTCATCCAAAGCTCATCAAAGCCAGTACAAAGTCTGGCTTTTAGTAAACTTCCTAAAGCTTTTCTTTTTTAAGCAATAGCTATTTCTTTCCTGTAAATACACCTTCTTTAGTGAATAAGGATCATCATTTCTACCTAACTCATCCTCTGGTACAAAATGCAGTAAGAATCTGCCGGCTCCTCACCTGCAGGCAGGCACCATAGCTGGCCAGGGGCACGACACAGGCAGGAATGTTGACAGCTTAAATATTGTAAGGCAAAAAAAAGCAGCACCAGGGCATAGAGTGAAAGAACAGACTTGAGTTCAGCAGCGTGTGTGTGGTCTGCTATGATGGGGTTGTGGAGTGTGCTCTGGGGAGACCTGGCGGTTATAATTCTTGCTTTCCCCTGCCTCTCAGCCAAACCCAACTCTCCAAATATGTATGCATAGGAAATACTTTATTTTTATTTTTATTTTTTCATTGCAGGAATGACAAGAAGGATTTTACCGTAGGAATGCCAAGAAGGATTTTACCGTACCAGCTCGGGAAAATGCTCTCCTTGCAACTGTAATGGTAATGCAAACAGATGCCTTGATGGATCTGGAATCTGTGTGGTAAGGAATTCCTGTCTTCTCTGCTGGTCTCGCACTGAATAACTGTAACTTTTTTTCTTTTTTTTTCTTTTTTCTTTTCTTTTTTTTCTTTTTTTTTTTCCTTTTTTTTTTAATGATAACATGAACCCCTTCACCTTCCTTCAGTCTTGCATGAGGCTTCACGTGAAGGAAATCTTTCCCAAGCAAACCCAAGAAACTGACTCTTTTATTAACACCAATGCTCAATTTCAATACAAGCAAAAGCAGTATCTATACCACAGGAGCTTTTTGTTGATGGGCAGTCAGAAGTAGGGCCAAGATCAAAATATTAATAAGATTATGCTGGACAAATTTCATTCTCACTTACTTAAATTATCTCTGCAGATTCAAAACACTTCCTGTGTGTAGTATTTCTGAGAGTCTGTATGCTGGGGAAAATTTTTAGTCCATCAGAAATATGGAAACAGTTTTGTATACCCATGGAGAAAAAAATTGTATAAATTCAAACACATTTCATTCTCCCCTTTATGAATACAGTGCTGTATATCATATAAACAATTTACAAGGGTGGGTGACCCCTGTAAGTGTATATACATGTGTTATCCATAGTAATTCTGCTGCATGGCAGCCTCCTGCTGTGAAGAAACAACATGAGGAGGTTGAAACAATACATCAAGGGAAGAGCATGTTGAACTCCAAGGTAGTATTACAATTTCCCATATGTTTGGTCTCACTCAGTATCGGCTCATTGAGAAAGCTGTGAATTAGTATCACTAGCTGAGCTCTTGCAACTCCAGAGCAAAAATCTGCCCAGTAAAACTAACCCCAATTACTAGTGTGCAATCAGAGCAGTAAGACACTAAAAAAAGGATGGAAGTTAATAGTGTAACCTATCTAAACCACATAGCAAGAGCTAGGCACTAGTGTACTCTTTACAGGCTTGTAAAGCAGAAGTAGCGCCCAGGGCTCCTTGCTCTGCTATGTGTTACTTTTGACAAGTCATAAACCTTTGCCCTCAGTTTGTCTCTTCATAAAAAGGCCTGATAATATTCACATACTTTGCATCGTCGCAGCTTCTATCAAGTTTTCAGTTATACAAATACATACTCCATGGCATATTTCCTACCATTTTTATTCCCACGGGAGAAAGACAGTGCAGCCAACAATTATTATGGCTTGGCCACTGTAGTGTCCTTAGGACTGGCTGGTTTCTGCAGAACATTAAATGTTCTGACATTAAATTTTTAAAAATGGTTTTACACTGCCAGGCATTCCCAGCTATTCTTTTTCACATGCACATGGCTTTTGCTCATGGGATGCTTGTCCCCTTAGTGTCAGGTGACAATGATGACAAGAGAAAACTTCCAATGGAAGACCTGAGAACAAGAGAGAGCCCTTGACAAATGTCTGCTTCTGTTGACTCTGGTGACCAGATATGAGGTAGGGAAGTGATTAGATCCTCAGTTTACAAACACAACAGAAAACTTGTTTCCTATCTTCTACAAAAATAAGGCCCATGTCAAGGGCCAAAAAAAAAAAAAAACCAAAAAACCCCAAAAAACAAAGTTTTTTTTAGGAAATAATCTGAAATTATATGTGCGTTCCTGACTGGCGTTTCTCCAGAATACTAAACTCTCGGAACTGATCAGATAGTAAAGAACAAAACTAAGAGCTAAACCCCAGTTTACTGCTTGAGTTCAAATAAGCCATTTGATGGCATATCTGAAAGATTTAATAAGCCATTAAGCTCAGGTCATTTACTTCTGAATAAAGATTAACAGTGAAAAGGCTTAAGTGAATTAAGAGGGAAAGGGAG